TRTAATTTATAAGATATAATCGGCTCTTATTCCGACTGTAAATCAATCAAGTATTTAAATACTACTTCACATTAATATATCACTTGAGGACMACTTAAAGATTTTGTAGGASGCAAAATTTCAAGAATTTTCTTGATTTTGTTTGCGCGGAAGTCCCAACACAAGTGGAATCACCACTAAAAGTACACATTGCGTTTTCTCGAAGATCAAGATCGCTGCATCAAAAGAGTCTTAATTCTTTAAATCCCTTTTGTGCTGTCCTTTCTCACATATATATATACGTTGAATAAAATTAAACACCAACTTGAAGCTATATATATATTGAGTATGCGCGCGTTTTATTGAGTATTCTTGTAGCGTTTTGCACTGTTCGTCGACCTCAAAAGAATTTATAGCAAATTACAAAACTTGACGCTGCAAGAACGTTTTCAGTGACAATAGAATTACAATTAATTCTTTATCTTGTAGAATAAAGGAGCTGGAGTCAAAGAAAGGTACTTCATTTATCAAACTGATTCATAACTAGATCTTACTCGAGAAACTTCATATTTGAGTATTTGCCTGTTTAGAAGTATAGAAATTTAAATTTTCTTCGTATTGGGTGTAAGTAAAATGAGACGTTTACTAAATGGTTCAAATTTGAAGAACCACCGTCAGTTTTTAATGATTATAATAATTGTCTATATATATAGTCCACAATTGATAAAGCTATTTACAAAAAYATACATTAATATACCAATTAAAAAGCATATTTRCAAGCATCTTATTTCTGTTTTACTAAGGCTGGTGTAAAGATGGGACGCCAGGAGCAGCAGGATCACCTGGAAAACCAGGCAAGGCCCGTTCCTGGATGCTAAATGATATCACTTTTTTAAATTAAATAGAAATTTTGCGTTGATTGACTTCTTCACCAAGTTTCTGGTTTTTCTTCATTACTGAACTGTTTTATTTTATGTGTGTGCTACCACCTTAAGGAAAAGATGGCCGTGATGGTTCACAGGGAAAAGATGGCGCTCCAGGAAAAGATGGCTCACCAGGTCCAAGAGGTAAYGTTAATTACTACCATTTGTTTTTAAACTGTATTCATTTATTGACGTGAAAGAGTTAACGATTGACTGCARGTATTAAACTTTACCTATATCCAACAATTTCAGGAAGAGATGGTCGTGATGGYCAACATGGCAGCCCWGGACCACGMGGTATAGTTGTACCAATTAGTCATGAATCAATAGCCGTTTATAATATTTTCCTGAAGTATTATTAGACTGTTGTTATGTTTAGGTAGTCCTGGTTCGCAAGGTCCACGTGGTGCTCATGGAGTAAGGGGTCCTCCAGGTCCTAAAAGTGGTGGTGTTCAGTACATACGTTGGGGCAGGACCTTGTGTCCCTCTGGTGCTAAACTCGTCTACAAAGGTAATTATATTAATAGACAGATGCTGATTGCCGTCTTATTGACTTACTGATGGATTGACTGACTGACTGGATAAATGAAACTTTGGATGGATGGGAGATGGATGGGAGAGAGAGGTCAGAAAAAAAGGAGGGAGTTACAACAGCCCAATAGTTAGATGAGGTGCTCCGGCACCTTCCCACAGATTCAAAAAGTACACATTTTTGTTAAAAAACTTAATATATCACTTTTTTCCATAATTGCATCCTTGGACAATAGAAATATTGAGAATTCTCAGACAAAACAAGTATTGAATTGTCAGAAGATATTATTTTGTAGTTTTTTCATAACTTCTTATTGGTTGTCCGAGATAGGGAACGCAAGCATTCTTCATCTTCATTCTTCATCAACGTCCATTTTGTCCGTATCAGCCTCGCCTCCATAAACGTCACTAGCTTGAAGGCCTGAACAAGGAAAGTAATCAATGTTTTTATGTAGGTCGTGTTGGTGGAGAGGATCACAAGCATCCCGGAGGGGGTTCCAATTACGTCTGCCTGACAGAATCACCCAAGTACGCGAGCTACAACGATGCGCACCAAGCATCTGGTTTTATGTACGGTGCTGAGTACCAAACTAAACAAAGCTACAATCCATTTCCACACAATCCTCACGATCACGACGTCCCTTGTGCTGTATGCTTTGTTCCAAATCGCAATGCCAAACTGATGATCCCGGCAACTTACGAGTGTCCCGCGGGATGGTCCAAAGAGTACTGGGATATCTTATGACTGAGTACTATAATCACCCTAATCAGAGAAATTTCATTTGCGTCGACAAAGATCCAGAAGTCATCAAAGGATCGCATTCGGACAAGAATGGTGCATTGCTGTACACCGTGGAAGGAAAGTGTGGCTCTCTGCCTTGTCTTCCTTACGTRGAAGGACGGGAACTGACATGCGTAGTGTGTACCAAATAAAATCTTGACATGCGYACTAAGTATACTATGTCAGTGCATAATATAACATGATTAAAGGAAATAAAAAGTGCCGTGTCAATGAATTGTCTACTGTCCTGACTCGAWCTCGCATGTGCTGAATAATGTGGATGTGGAGGTATCTGTGAATGTTTTTGTAGAAGTRTTTGTGAATGTGGTGGTAGAKAATGTATGTGAACGTGGCTGTAGAGGYTTTTGTTAATGTGGCTGTGGAARTKCCTGTAGAGAATGTATGTCAATGTGGTGGTAGAAAATGTATGTGTGTTTGCCCTCTAACAACACCCGTATAGTGAAAGCAAAGAAGTGGAAAACCTTGACATCGTTTTGCCAACATTTGGATTCGTCATTGTARGAAAACCTTCTTCTATGAGATCTATGCATGCCCTTCCAAAATTCGCAGAGCAATCTTGGTACATATTGTATTAAAATGTGTATTTTGTTCAATCTGTATGACTAGTAAAGGAATGCATTTTGTACGTCACGTTCCAAATGGGGACCTGCCGCCCTCGAGGGAAGGTTTAGACACAAAACAATTTTAATTGTTTTTATTTAAAAATACAACTTTGGCGTGCTAAGGTGTATTGGTGTATTATTCTTTTTAAGGAGTTTTTACTTTTACTCTGTGAACCGAGCATGCAGTGGAGAATTGAAAGAGACATTTATATTTCTTATATTATCACAGCTAAGTTAATGCTAATRTAATAGCGGTCGTCATAACCCTGCAAATACATTGTCAACAGTACATGCTCGACTATATTTGCTGAATTAAAAGCTCGAAGACGTCTTCCACTTAAACTTAAGTTCAAAATACACTTAAAGATAAAAGTACACTCTTGCATTTTCTCGAATTTCTCTCATGTTCATCCATGTTTGTCTTTTCTGTTGAGTCAATTTAGGGAGGGAAGGTACGTTAATTATTGGGGGGTTGGGGGAGGGGGGGGGGTTGATGGTGGAGGGGTGGAGTGGGAGAGGGGAGGGTCATCACCTAGTTTTTTAGTTTTAACCTAGTATACCTGTGGATCTATTTAAAATTCATTATCGCCAACATGAAAACATGATTTGAGTAAGATATCTGTCATCAATTCTTGAAAATTTCCCGGCAACAACGCAATTAGTGCATATGTTACAAGGTATTTGGCTTGCTTGTACGACTTGCGAACGTACTTTGGGATTTACTTAAATAGAGCCGGTACTTGATTCAAAGGTTTAATAGAATGACCCCAACCAAAGCTTTCTTACACCTTGCTTACAGCTTCTAACTCTAAGCTACACAAATTAATGTGAATCTTGATATACAGTGAATATCTTACAAGGTAGAATGACAGCAAATTGTCAGGCTGTATTGCAATATCAAGTTAAATTAAAGAGATATATGGTTAGCGAAGGGTGTGCCTTTTAGCAATGTAATGAACCATGTGGAAATATCCCAGTAATGAAAGGGGAACTCCAATAGGTGCCTTKTAGTCTCGTTATATTGTTAAACTTGGTTCCTGGTTCTGAAGCTTAATTGAATTTTCGAATTAATCAGACAGTTTAGGAAAAAGTGAAATCTAGRGATGTGATCACGAACGACTACCTCAAAAATATATGAATATAAAAGTGTTATTTAATGCTATTTTATTAATGTTGTCTCATAACACATGCAATAATACGCTTCCTCTCGTCCCAATGTCGAAAACTTTTGAAGGCATTCAAGAAAATTAGGGTGACAATGAATATAGTTCGAGCGATACAGATGAGTWACTATTCTAATACTTTTACAGACACAGAATGGTCCAGAGTGGACATTAATATTACATATTATATACCCGTAGTCTGTCTCTTGTGTGTGTGTGATGGGGGGAGGGTCATCAGTATTTTGGGGGGGGGGGGGGGGTGTCACACATGTTTACTCTGAAAACTCTAGCCCTCCCCCTAATGATTAACGTACCTTCCCTTACGAGTAAAAGCTACTCAAACGGTTGTTCGAGCAAACTTGTACTCTAGATTTGTAAGTGGACTCTCTCTTACCTCTAACTGGGATTTAGAGCAAAACTACTCTTTATAAGACAAGTTTTGGGTTTCATAATGTCGTTGAGAGATATTTTCGTGGTGCTGGCTGTGCTTGCTATGTTTTGGGTGACTGAAAGCAAAGATGTTGGCCTTGAAAAACGAAACCAAGTGAATCCTACAACTATCGGCGACGTAGCAAAAATYTTGAACGAGTACGCCACAAGGTAAGTACAGTGAACAATGTGATTGAATAAAATCGAATWACTCATAAAAAAATAAAAAGTTATGATCTCTCTTGTAGCATGATCTATCAAAGTTAGTGTGCATCACACTGATCTGTGGCGAGGAATAATACTCTTCACCTTTYCTCAACTTAATCAATAATATTGTATTACCCTACAACAYTCTATGCAAATCAAAACTTTTCTGGTGACTGTTAACGCTTTTGTCTAATTTTTCCCAATGTACACGTCCTCACCAGTTGCTTGACTGATTAAATATGGTTATGAGCTCCACTTTGTATAAAGGAAGTCACCGAAGTAACTGCCATATATTAAGTAATGATGCCAAGTCTTTTTTCTAGAATAAAAGAACTGCAATCAAAGAAAGGTACGCACACCTAGTTAAATAAATTATAATTAGACATCAAGCAAATCTGCAAGAAATGACATATTTTTTCAATCAATCTGACATATTTCAAAAATGACCCACTGTGCCTATCTCTATCTCTTCGTAAACTGAAGTCTTTTTTTGTAATCTTTAGGCTGGTGCAAGGATGGGACTCCAGGAGCACCGGGGGCACCTGGGAAACCAGGCATGTAGTATCATAAGCATTTTTAATGTTTTCATTTGATTGCAGTTTCTTAGAGGACGTACAATACAGTTATTTTTAACGATAGCAACCTTATTTCTTTTTGATAATACATCTGGATAAAATACAAACATTTTTATACGCAGTTTGTTTAATCAACCATTAATAATTTTAAACTTCTTTCCAAGCTTTCGACCTAAGCGGTCATCTTCAGGGAACACAAAGACGTTACAAAAACAAAAACGCATTCAAACTGAAATGAAACTACTTTAGCGCATGGTTGATTAAACAAACTGCGTATAAATATGAAAAATACAACCAACAAAGGTCTTTTAAAATATAAACATGTTAGTTTGACATGCAGTTTGAAGCACATGCTTAAGTGCAATGTCAATCACTTCATACAATGCATTGGACTCAAAAAACAATCAATTAATGATTCATTTTTATTTTTTAATAGTGGGAAATATTGGTTTTAAAACTCTTATTATCCGATCCTGATTTCTTCATAATTCGAGAATTTGGTGGAGATAGCTTGATTTGTGTTCGACTTGTAAGGCAGTTTTGGCTCTTGTTAACTATATATGTTTTTTTTATTTCAACCTTCCCTCGTAATCATTCGTCTCAGGCAAGGACGGTAGAGATGGTCAACAGGGCCTACCAGGACCAAGAGGTAAAGAATTGACTCAAAATATATGTAAATTGAGTAACTTACAGCATATTTACACATTATTTTAAACTTGTAAACTAATCAACTTTTTCAGTGAATGCTCAATTCCACACAAGGGAGTTGCAATATTCAAATATTTTTGAAACAGCTGTAATTAGCACTTTATGTGTTACATTTGTTTCAACAGGGAAAGTATAACTTCATTTAGTGTTGACTCACGAGGGTTAGAAGAGCACGTCAATAGTCCCCTTCACGGTTACATGCGCCATCTTGAAAGGTAGCGGTGCGTTTGCATCGAAGCGAGACGACCGTTGAGCGTGCAATGATGAGAAACCTTCTTTCACATCTACAGACAATTATTCACAGGCAATCTATCATTGCACGCTCAACGGTTGTCTCGCTTAGATGTAAAGGCACGGCTACCTTTCAAGATGGCGCAGGGCAGGTAACCGTGAAGGAGACTATTCCAGGTTTTTTTATCTGTGTAATATGATTTCTAAAAATATTATTGGAACCATTTTGAGAAAGAAATGTTTCATATAGTTTGATAAGATTATCACAACAGCTATTTTCTGCATAAAACGATAAAAGCTGTTAATAATTTATTGTTCAAACTTTCTGATCGAAGAATTCAAAATACTTGCAGGACGAGATGGTCGTGACGGCCAACATGGCGCCCAAGGTCCACGAGGTACAGTGGTACTATTCAACCGTTGAGGTTATATTCTTCCACGAATTTTATTAGATTGTTATTATATTTAGGAAGTCCTGGTTCACAAGGTCCACGTGGTGTTCAGGGACCAATGGGCCATCCTGGTCCTAAAAGTGGTGGTGTCAAGTACATACGCTGGGGGAGGACCTCGTGTCCTTCTGGTGCTAACCTCGTCTACAAAGGTAACTGTACTTGATGTTGCATAGTATATGCAGTATTTCTTTTTCGCCAGGTTGTTCACCTGCATTGCTTCAACTTTTCTTTTACCAGTTCATGATAGAAACAACTGATAGATGATCGTGAAGCGCCCGGTGAGGGGGGTACTCCCCCGCAACTTGGTTGGGGGTGTGCCGCTGGGACCTCAAAGCCCTGAACCTGTTCCAGAGTGAAATCGCTGAAAACTATACCCTGTTCCAGAAGAAAATCCAGCACTAGCCTGCGTAAAACCGTGTAGACCGAATTTTTACCCCGTGAATTTTTACCCAGCATTAATAATTCCGGAATTAAACCCTGACCCTGTTCCAGAGAAAATTCGCTGAAATCGATACCCTGTTCCAGAGTAAAATCGCTAAAAACGATACCCTGGTTGGCGGCACGTCCCCGTATAACGAATATAGGGGAGTACCCCCCCCCCCCCCCCCCCCCCCCCCCCCCCCCCCTTCCTACGGGCGTGAACGCGAATGTGAATATGATGCTGAATTACGTCTTTAAAGCCACATGGCCAACCGTCATCCCTTACGAACTTTTTCCATGCTGAAAGTAAAAGTACATCGCATAAACTTCTTTTTATTATCCCTTTATGCTCTACTGAGAATAGAGCAAGAAATTGTAAGATTATCTGATCTTAAAAGTGACGGACATAGAAACAGATTGCGAATGGATATTTGAGGTGCCCTCATTTTCCATGCATGTATGAAAACTCCCAAGACTCACCCGAATTGAATACCTTTTGATCCTAGACCTTTAATTGTGAGTGCATTGCATTGTTGGATGGGCTTATAACGATTATATCTTTTAGGTCGTGTAGGAGGAGAGCGTTACACCCATACAGGCGGTGGTTCAAACTATGTATGCCTGACCGAGGCACCAAAATACGCGAGCTACACAAATGTCCTCAAAAAGTATTCAGCATTCATGTATGGATCTGAGTACCAGGTTCACTCCACTGAACATTCCAACCCGTTCAACAACAAAAACCTTCACGATCACGACGTCCCTTGTGCTGTATGCTTTGTTCCAAACCGCAACACTGAACTGATGATCCCAGCAACTTACGAGTGCCCCACGGGATGGTCCAAAGAGTACTGGGGATACCTTATGTCGGAATATTACAATCACGCTAATCAGAGAAATTATATTTGCGTTGATCAAGATGCTGAGCCTGTCAAGGGAACAATCCACAATCATGACGGCGCGTTGTTGTACGGTGTCCAAGGAAGGTGTGGCTCTCTGCCTTGTCTTCCTTACGTGGAAGGACGGGAACTGACATGCGTTGTGTGTACCAAGTAAAATCGTGACATGCACAATACGCCAAGATATATATGTTCATGACCCATCAGTTTAACGCAATATATATTGTAAAAGAATAAGTAAATAAAACGCAGAAAATGAAATTAAAGAGTTAAAGTGATTACGAAATGAATTTTACTGTTATTGTGATTGAATGATGTGGTTGAGATGAAATTGATTTGTAAAGAAACATTCATACTCGGGAAACACCATCTTTCTCCCCGTGTTCTTTCACTAAGTGGCTGTAAAATCAGGTAAAAACAAATTTGAATGCCGTCAATCCACGATATTATATGTTCGCATTGGAAATCTCTCGAATATAGTCGCTACGTATTAGGTAAATAGCATGCCTGAAACTGTCGCAATACATATCTGTTTTGATTGATGGACAAACAAGCACCTTTTCAGTCAATCATCTTATGTATTTGCTCAATTAAAAGCTCAAAGAAGTCTTTTAATTCATCTGAAGTCCAAGAGGAGAAGCAGTCGTGAATTTTCTTGAATTTCTCTCACGTTTGTAAATTTGTCGATTGACAAATAAAATCCACCAAGCAATCACTTGAATACATATGTAAGAAGAGCTATATAATTTGTTTTACTATTTAATTTTACCATCTACTAGAGGCAACCTTTCTGTCGATTTCAAGTTTTTTTTTTTACCCCATAATGTCGGTGAGAAGTTTTGTCGTGTTGATCGTGTTCACCATGTTTTGGGGACTTCATGAATGTAAAGATGTCAGCGTTGAGAAACGAAGTCAAATCAATCCTTCAACTATCGCAGATGTGGCAAAAATCTTGACTGACTACGCTAAAAGGTAATTAGAAAGCATCAAAATGTTTTTAGTCCGCACAAAAAGATCGGTTTAAGGGTCACAATCCGATGTGTGTACTGATTGACGAAGCTGGGAATTTAATATCGGTTAGTAAGAACGCCTTTTTTATAAAGCTTTAGCAGTAATTATGAATAAAATATGAAGACTTAATTATCGGTGAATATGGAGTCGATTGAGCAGCAACAATCGCCAAGCTTGCTCTCTAAAGCTCTAGCCATAGAATCGGTCCTTTGTCGTAGAATCGTCGAGTCACAAGATTCTCCCCGGCCGACAACCTTGAGGTTTTTGTAAGCTTAATACTGATCAACATGCATATTTCTAGAATAAAGGATCTGGAGTCAAAGCAAGGTACGTAAAGTGCGCGTATTGATCAAGAAAAACAGCATTCTTAATTTCCATTGATATAATCGCAAAACTAAGACGAAAACATGATAAAAATTCTCATCTCATTTAACTGCAAAGGCGCAACATGCTAACAATTAAAGCTTTGACAATGTCTTTATCGTTAAAGGATGGTGTAAGGATGGCGCGCCAGGAATACCAGGGTTACCTGGGAAACCAGGCAAGTGAGACAATGGTTGAATCTTCTACTTTAATCAAACATTTGCGGAAAATGACAAATAAGTTTGAAAATTTTGAGTGTTAGCGACATAAGGAAAGCTTAATGGAGTGTAGCAAATAACTAAATAGATTACAGTTGTATCACTTTATTGAGTGGTGACCCTAGGCGGCACTTTTCAAAGTGGACGCAGAATAGAGAGGTTCAATACAGCATGAATAGACATATTTGTCAGTGAGTATTTATTGTGGTCACTTTTTAGAACTTAGTTACAGAGCTTACACATAACATGATGGCCTACATGAAGACTATCTTTTCTTCCTTATAGCGATACCTTATGGTATTTATGGTATTTCTTTCGTTCTCTATACGTGTATGACTATTATATTAATTGGACTTGCAGTTTACAGGGTCGCTCCTTGAATGTTCTTTGTACTTTTTGCTTTTTTTGTGTTTTCGTTGTTTCTGCTTTTGATTTTAATTTTATAAATATTTTGTTTAATACTATCTTTGGAAGGCAAGGATGGCCGTGATGGAGTCGGTTTGCCAGGAAAAGATGGTACCAATGGTATACCAGGAAAAGATGGCAGCAATGGTTTGCCAGGAAAAGATGGTGCGCCGGGGAAAGATGGCGTCGGTTTACCAGGCTCACCAGGTCCAAGAGGTAAAAAAAAAAACAAAAAAAACAAAAACAAAAAAACACTTAATCTTATTGGTTCATTGACAGGAAAATTTTAGATTATGATTGAAAATTTTAACTTTTTTTTACTTTCAGGACGAGATGGTCGTGATGGCCTACATGGTGCACAGGGACCGCAAGGTAGGGATGCAGCACTCAGTAGATGCCAAAATTAACAGTTAATGATATTCTTCAATTGATAAATTATTCATATAATTAGGTAGTCCTGGTCTGCAAGGCCCACGTGGTGCTCAGGGACTAAGGGGTCTCCCTGGTCCTAAAAGTGGTGGTGTTCAGTACATACGCTGGGGAAGGACCTCATGTCCTTCTGGTGCTAACCTCGTCTACAAAGGTATCTGCACTTGATGCAGCATGCATGCATGCACCATGCTTGTTTATTATTGTATTTTGGTTTACAGGGGATTTCTCAGGAGTACGTAATACCGGAAGTGACTGCTCACTGGTCGAAAAAATCGACCATAGACGCTGCTAGTGATGTGCTCCTGATTAGGGCCATTCAATGTCTAAACCATTGAAGTCATCAGTCTATACTTGGCTCACTGTTTCCCTCACGTCTTTGAAGGTTCATGATCCACCGACATCCCTTTCAAACCTTTTTTATGTTTGACAATAAAATTACATCGTATAATATAATCAAAAAATCTAAAACTTATGATTCCTTTATGCTTCATGAAGGCATGCAAAAGATACTATAAGATACGACGTTTTAAAAAAACCCCACGTCTTCCGATAGCCATTGCACGATTTTCTCATATCCCAAAAATTAGTCTTTGATTTTTTTAACATCAGAAAGCAACTCTAAAAAAACCCTTAAAACAAAACATATATTCGCAAAGGTTCTTGGAAGCAGGTTGGCCTTTAAAATCGACTGATACGTAAACGGATTGAAGTCCATACATGAAAAATCCAAGAAACGCCGCCGCATTGAATGCCGGTTGAGCATAAGCCTTAAGTTATGCAGCTTTCGATGAACTGATAATTATTATTCTTTTCAGGTCGTGTTGGAGGGGAGGATCATAATAATCCCGGTGGAGGCTCAAACTATGTATGCCTTACAGAGGCACCAAAATACGCGAGCTACACAAATGCCCTCAAAACGGCTTCGGCACTTATGTATGGTGCAGAGTACCAGGTTCATTCCACCCATCATCCCAATCCATTCAACAACAAGAACCTTCACGATCACGACGTCCCTTGTGCTGTGTGCTTCATTCCAAATCGCAGCGCGAAACTTATTGATCCCGGCAACATACGAGTGTCCCACGGGATGGTCCAAAGAGTACTGGGGATATCTTATGGCGGAGTATTACAAACATCCCAACCAGAGGAATTTCATTTGCGTYGATCAAGATGCTGAGCCTGTCAAAGGAACCTTTCATAATCATAACGGCGCGTTGTTGTACGGTGTCCAAGGAAGGTGTGGCTCTCTGCCTTGTCTTCCTTACGTAGAAGGACGGGAACTGACATGCGTAGTGTGTACCAAGTAAAATCGTGACATGCGCAATACGCCAAGATATATATGTTCATGACCGATCAGTTTAACGCAATATATATATTGTAAAAGTATGAGTAAATAAAACAGTTAGAAATGCAGAAAATAATTAAATAATTTGGTGATTACGAAATGAGTTTTACTGTGTAGTTATTGCCACTGAATGACGTGGTTGAGATGCAGTTAAGTGGTAAAAAAACATTCATACGCGGGAACCGGTCTTTGTTTTAGTCTTTTAGATTTGAACGTGTGATATCGTAAGGCATTACCAACAATATATGTAGATGTAGATGTATAGATGCTTTCTCTCCTCGTTCTTTCACATAGTGGCTGGAAAAATCAGGTGATCAAGAATTTGAACCTCGTCAATKCACGTTATATGTTCGCATTGGAAATCAAAATAGTAGCTACATACTAGGTAAAATGATATGAAACTGTTGCAAATAAATATCTGTTTTGATAAATGGACAAACAAAAACCTTTTTCACACCATTATCTTATGTATTTGCTCAATTAAAAGCTCAAAGAATTCTTCTACTTCATCTTAAGTCCGGCAAAATACATGCACTTAAGAACAGAAACTCCGCTTGAATTTTCTTGAATTTTTCTCGAGTTTCCACGTTAAGTTTGTCGCTTGACAAATAAAATCCACCAAGCTGAATCACTTATTTACATATGTGAGAAGAGCTATATAATTTTTTTATTATTTAAACTCGCAACTTCTCTGGCGATTTCAAGACGTTCCATAATGTCGGTGAGAAAACGTTTCGTCGTGCTGGTCGTATTCGCCATGTTTTGGGGACCTCATGAATGTAAAGATATCAGCGTTGAAAAAAGAAGTCAAATCAATCCTGATGTTGCAAAAATCTTGTCTGACTACGCTAAAAGGTATTCACAAAGCGTCAAAATTTTTTTAGTTCGCAAGATCAGAAGGGGGCACAATCCGATGTGTACTGATTGGCGCGAAGCTGGATATTCTATGATTCTATGTCGGTGAATTCGATCGCCTCTTTTATAAAGCTTTAGCAGTAATTATGAATAATTGAAGACTTCATTATCGGAGAATATGCACTCAATTGAGCAGCAACAGTAACCGGGTTTGCAGTTTAAAGCTCTAGCCATAGATCCGGTTCTTCGGCGGTCGTGCAGATATCGCCGACTGCTCGTCAATTCTCCCCGACAACCTTCCCAAGTTTCTATAGCCTCTGTACTGATTACATGCATATTTCTAGGATAAAGGATCTGGAGTCAAAGCAAGGCAAGTATAGGCAAACTCATCTTATTTGAAGTGTTAAGCCACAACATTGTAACTGACAGCCATTTGACATCGTTAAAGGATGGTGTAAGGATGGCGCGCCAGGAGTACCAGGGTTACCCGGAAAACCAGGCTAGTGAGACAATTGTTTAATCTCATATTTTATTTTCATCCAAATCAAACATTTGCAGCTGACAATTACGAATAATTTTGAAACTTTTGAGTGTTATATATAGCAGACCTTAGCAGCATGAACAATTTTTGTTGCAACTTTAGGATACAATTGTACCTTTATTTAACGTTGACCCTCGGCGGCACTTTCCACTGAAACTCCGAGCGGAGAGTGAATATAGCTTGCGTGAATAGAGAATTAGGAGTTTTTATTGTGGCCGTGTATTAGAGTGTGACAACTTTATAGACCGGTGTCACTGTGTGGTGAGGAATTGCACAGTCTCCCAGACAAGCCCTGTTTTAGTACTCTTTTAGTAAGATCTTCAAAATGCAAGTTACTATATTTTCATACAATTAAGTATATTTGTCTAGTTGGTTGTTGGTTGCTGTTCGTTTGAATGCTTTTCTCTCGTCTTTGTTTTTTACTTTTCGTATTTGTATATTTCTATTTTGTTAACTGGTTGATTGATTTGTTCGCATCCTATAGACGATTTGTATTATGTCGTCATTAACTACAATTACCAGAATGCTTTACACACTTTCTTTTGTAATATAATCAGTGTCAATTGTTTCAATGATCTCCAAAGGGATTAAAATCTGAATAATAATGATAATGAGTAAGTCTTTGTGGTAGTTGTATTAAGGTTACTCCATCGTGCAAATGGCCTATTGCAGGATCTTTCCCTAAACGTTTATTGTTTGTAATTTCGTTTGTTTGCCGTTTGAATAATTTCGCTGTCATTTTTGTTTATCATTTCAATCTGACAAATTTTTGAACTTTGGAAGGCAAGGATGGCCGTGATGGTTTGCCAGGAAAAGATGGCGTCGGTTTACCAGGCTCAGCAGGTCCAAGAGGTAACATAAAGTATTTTTTTAAGGGAATTGATTCATTATCAAATAAAACCTCCATTGACTTTATGAAATGTATGCCTATGTAACCATACTTTCAGGACGAGATGGTCGTGATGGCCAACATGGTGCCCCTGGACCAAAAGGTATGCTGATTAATCTAAAAATTGGCAATATTCGTTTACCACTCGATATATATCAATAATCGTTGATAATGTTCTTCAATTAAAATGTTGTACTCTTTAGGAAGTGCTGGTTCGCAAGGTCCGCGTGGTGATCACGGAATAAGGGGTCCTCCTGGTCCCAAAAGTGGCGGTGTTCAGTACATACGCTGGGGAAGGAGCACGTGTCCTTCTGATGCAAAACTTGTCTACAAAGGTACTGTACTGATTGGGTGTAGGCATAGAAGACTAGCTTGTCATTGGATACTTGTGAATGTTTGTCTATATGTAGATGTTTCTGTTATTGCACTGTCATCGGCGTTCGTTGTGCATGCCTTTCACGATTGCTCTGGGAACCGTAAGGCATTGTGGGAAGGTCATGACGAATCGCGTGTTGTTAGCATTTCACTGAACAATATTTTTTTTACCAAGTGCAGCAGGGTTGCACCAAACATGGTTTTACTCTTTGGTAGTTTTGACTTCGTTGCACGTTAATTTTTCCCTTAAGCTAGTTAACTGCACTCTTTTACTCGTTACATTAGACGATAATCAAGCGTAGCACAGCTGTTTTTGACTGTTTGCGTCTTTTCCTCACAGGTCGTGTGGGTGGAGAGCATTACAGCCATACAGGTGGTGGTTCCAACTATGTATGCCTGACAGAAAACCCGAAGTACGCAAGTTACACAAACACCCTCGAAAAGGTGTCAGCATTCATGTTTGGAGCTGAGTACGAGCTTAGTAGCGGTCACGCAAACCCATTTAACAAACAAAACCTTCACAACCACGACGTCCCTTGTGCTGTGTGCTTTGTTCCAAACCGTAACACTAAACTGATGATCCCGGCAACTTACGATTGTCCTGCGGGATGGTCCAAAGAGTACTGGGGATACCTTATGACAGAGTATTACAATCACCAAAGTCAGAAAGGATTCATTTGCGTTGATCAAGACCCTGAGCCCGTCAAAGGATCGGTTCACAATCATAACGGAGCGGTTCTGTATGGTGTCCAAGGAAGGTGTGGCTCTCTGCCTTGTCTTCCTTACGTTGAAGGCCGGGAACTGACATGCGCAGTGTGTACCAAGTAAAACTGGAGCATGCGCAAAATGAACCAAGTGTTACCGTCGCATGAGCAATAATATCTTGACCAATCCTATTCAAATAAAAATATGTAGTTAATTGAATAGAAAATAAAGCTGATTCAAAATGATATCATATGACGACGATATTCATTTGATGATTACAAATCTAGAGGCCATATTCTGTTTAAGTGCCATGTGTGAAAAACGCTACCTGCTGAATGCTGTAGAACCTTTTACTTACCCTTGTCTGTTGAATGCTAAAAGCAGGTATTTTCAATAATTATCACTCACTAGCCAGAYYTAGAGASAATTCCATAACTGGCCAGCAGCTATATCTAGCTCCTCATTTTTTCGTAACCACGAATTCATGATTGATAATGGTAGTTGAAGTGAGTGGAGTGCAATTTAGTCTGAAATCAAACGCACGACTACAAAATCGCGCGCACGACCGCGATATAATAAGCGTAAATTGTTAACACTGATCCCATTGTTATCGTCAGTGCAATGTAATTTTTRCTTCGGCTCTGGTTAAGAACGGGCGAGCGCCGGCGACATAAATCCCAGCCACAGTTACTTGGTAAGTGGATATAACGTGGTCATTCCCATCCAAGGATTTTTAAAAGACCGCAAAGGTCCCAGATGATCCAGATGAGTTCACATTTCTTTGATTTCTTTATTTGCCAAAAATATTTCTTTATATAACGAAACCGCTAAAGCCGGAAAATTAATAAATTCTGAAGTCATAAGTAACACTTGCTCAAGCTTACAGGAGACTGAGTGACTGACTGAGTGAGTGACAGATTCGTCCCCTCCAATAACTCTTCGATTGCTTCACAATCTTCGAGTTAAAAAGGGGTTCCAAAGTTTTGGATGCCAATTAAATTCACATTCACGTACTATATTTGTGAAGAACGGGTCTCAGAACTTAAAAGCGTATTCCAAGCTATTTTATRTATTAACAACAACAATTAGACTCAAGGAACTTCAAGTTTACAATGGTAACGTTATGCTTTGTACATCAATATTTTACAAATTGAGACTTTTATCCATGACAATTCAAGTATGAGGAAGTAGCTGATCCCATTAAAGA